TGGTAACATCCCCCGGTCGGCGAACACACCTACACAAAAAGATAAATCGCTCTCCCAAAAATCCCATTTAAATTCCCAACCGTAACAGCTGCAAGTGAATCTAACAATGATGAAGCAACCGCCAGTAGCGAAACAGGTTCTCTGTTAAATCCATTCGAAGTCCCTCAAGGAACGGAAACGGACAGCGGACAGAACCAGATTGCTACTTGGCGCAAGTGGCTAGAGTACATCCTTGAGGTCAGTACATGGACGCAGTTTACAGGAAGTACCGTCAAGTTATTGTGATCTTACCTCCTATTATGTTTGCAGGTTCCCATAGAGGATGTAAGGATAAAAATTCTGACACTCCCATATAGCAATAAGAATAAGTTTGAAGCGACTATGATTCAATACATTGGCAAAGTGCTAATGGATTTGTGAGTTCCTTTTCAAATTTCAGATATGTGTAACAATTTTTTTTAATGCCATATAACAATAATGATAATCAAATAGCGTTAACAAAGTCATTGATGTCCCTGGCAATGTCCTATTCATTGATGATATTGAGCGAGACTGGATCATCAGTAAGCTGTCACCGCTCTTTGTTTATCTAGAAGCCACATTCATAAATCGAGTCCGATTCCACTGGCAAGTGTTGTTCTTTGATAAGGTTTCAATTAATATTTTAATGTTTCAAATCATGAGCTAATTATGCGTTTATTCATTGTAAACTAGGGTTGAGCACGATATAGAGCCCACTCACGAGCGTCTCGTCCGTGATGGTAACACCACCAACAAAGACCGGCTGAAAGCTGACATGGTTGGCGTTCAGCTTTGTGACAACCGGCAAATAGTGTTTTTAGAAATGAGTGGAGCACCCACGGACTTTTTACAACCGCATACCATTACGGACGTCCATAAGACGATTCAAGAACGAATTGATGCGGTCAATTCGTTGCTATTGAATTTCTTAGATTATGATGTGCGATATGCGGGGAAGATTCGTTTGTTAACTGTTCAGGGAATCAGTGAGTATAATCTTTAGTTGATAATTATTCAGATAATTCAAAAACTTTTTTAACCTTTGTACCCTAGGAGATCGGCTTACATTACGATCAATTTTTTTAAGAAGGAAGGAGGATTACGTTGATGAGGAGATTTTATCAGCAATATTCCCACTTAGTTGGGAGCTCCACTTCCAATTTTTGGAAATATTTGAACTAACTGAATATATAATGCTATCAATTATAGAATACCCAAATGTGATAAAAGAGCTGAGAAAGCATCGTGCAGACTCTCTGGAATTTTCTATTAGGCATTGTCTTTCAAATTAGCTTTATTCAATAAAAAGTTTGTAAATAATAACATTCTGTTGTTAAATTGGCGATGTATTGCTACAGCCTGGCACATGTTTCCCAGCAACTGTTGCTGCTCTGGTATCTTCACCTGAATCTGCGACCTTTCACTACCTGCTTCTTTTGTTTGCACCCATCTTTGCTCTACCATAGCAATTGGATCAGAATTTACTGCTCAAGAATGTCCCATGTCAAGAAACTTTCACCAAGACACCAGCAAGCTTTCCTCTAAATAATTGTGAATGTTTATTCTTTAGTTGATTATAAAAAACACAGGCAAGTCATTTGGATGCTAATTATGTTCTCTCCCTTTGGATGTTTCTCTTCCATCTCCTCTGACTGAACACATTTAAAAGATTAGGTTTTTTGGACCTGGGCAACCAAGAATCTTATGTGGGGCAGACTGCAACAAAACCAGACAAAGTGAACATTTGATCATGTGAATGAAAAGAGGCTGATGTGGCTGGAAAATAAACTAATTTAGCTGACAAAAATTTTGGTGAGGCTTTGCTTGATTATAGCTGTGGCTCATGCACCTAAATTTTAGTGTGTCAGGATCAAGGCTTAACACGACGTATTCCTCCGTGATTTCCGCTCTGTCACACGAAAATCTCCGATTCCGCA